GGCGCTGCTCCCGAGAGGGTGGCAGCGAGTTGCTGCAGCCCATCAAAAAAAAAAAGGTTGGTGTGGAGGCCCGACGTGACCTTGAAGCGGAGGCGCTGACGTCACGACGGCCTATTTGAAGAGTTGCTCTTGGGAGGGACGCGCGCCGTTCAATTGGCAAAAGGAGGGCGGCGCAGATCGGCGGCGTCGCCTCCCTTCGGCCGCTCGAGGAAAGCCGCGACGCCGCGCTCGGTCCCCGTCGCAAACGCGCGTCCGCTCGGAGGCCTGCGAAACGAGGACCCCTCGCCAACGGGCAGGAGTGACGAGTCGCGCGCGCCGCAACGAGCATGCCGCCCGCCTTGCCACTGATGAAATCTCTTCTGATAAGAGCTGATTTTTCAAATGTTGTTGCTTTCTGTTTTTTGATTTGGGAATTTTCAACTCTGCCACTCTTGTTGTCTTTTTTTTTCCTGCCGCCCCCCCGGACCGGTTCCCTTTCAAATGCTGTTCGGGTGGCCCTTTTGTTTGTTTTTCTCCCGCCGACCGACCGCTGTCTTTGTTTTTGGGGAACCGGCGTTGTACTGTGTCGAAACGTGCAATTTGACGCCGTCGCGCTCGCGGGCCGCTCGAGCTTTTTCCAAAGTGTTTGTTGCCGCCGTCGCGATCGGCTCGATGCGTTTGATTTGATCCTCTGCGTTTTTGTAACGCCGCAGCGGGTGAAAGGTCGTACGGCCTGAGCGTTTCTACCCTGTGCACTTTTGTTGACCTCTTGTCATTTTGTTGTTGTTTTTGTTTTGTTGTTTTGCTTTGTGTTTCTAGGCAACAGTTTAGGTTACGGCTTTGTTAACTTTGTTAACGCTAGTGATGCCGAGAGGGCAATCAGTTCCCTCAACGGCCTGAGGCTTCAGTCTAAAACCATCAAGGTAAAGTTCCACTTTCGCTTGCTGCTCTGTAGGGGGCGCTCTTTCTCAAGCATCCACAAGGTACCTTCCCAGTGTTGTTGTTTTTTTGTTTTTTTGTTTTTTTGTTTTGTTTTTTTTTTTTTTTTTTTTTTTTTTTTTTTTTTTTTTTTTTTTTTTTACAAACAACTTGTCATTTCTACTGTGCCTGACGTTTATTTTTATTAGCGATCGTTTCATTTGAACAAGTTTTAATGTCTTTGATTTATCCATTTCTTTTTGAACAAACTTTGCTGTTTGAAGCTTTTGTTTTGATGTCATGTGACAGTGCCCAAATGCTGTGAATGGATTTTTGCTCTGAAACGCGTCAACGTTTTCTCTTGAGCGAGCCGAGTTTGCCCGACCCGTTCCAAGTTGTTTTGCGTTTCGCCGCAGGTGTCGTACGCGCGCCCCAGCTCGGACACCATCAAAGATGCCAATCTGTACATTAGCGGCCTGCCGCGCACCATCAGCCAGCAGGACCTGGAAGACATGTTTGCTCGTTACGGACACATCATCAATTCTCGCGTGCTGGTGGATCAGGCGTCGGGTACGTACGCGCGCGCGCCGGCCGGCCCGGACCGTCCGCCTCACGCGTGCGCTCGGCCGTGCAGGTTTGTCGAGGGGCGTGGCCTTCATCCGATTCGACAAGAGGGCCGAGGCCGAGGACGCCATCAAGCAGCTCAACGGGCACACTCCTCCCGGCAGCGCCGAGCCCATCACGGTCAAGTTCGCCGCCAATCCCAACCAGGCCAGGAATTCTCAGCTGATGTCTCAAATGTACCACGGCCAATCGCGGCGCTTCGCCGGGCCCGTGCACCACCAGGCGCAGAGGTTCAGGTACGCGCCGCGCGCGCACCCCCGACACGCGTGCCCGGGAAAGAAAAAAAAAAAAAAACCCCAGAGTGTTGACGGAAGTGGCTCAACGCTGACAAAAGTAGTCGGCGCTCAAAATGGGCCGACAATGAATCGATGAAAATGAGCCCTTGCTGTTGAATTGTCAGGCCTGAAAAAAAATGTTGCTGCCCCTGCAAAATATCCCAAATAATGGCAGCGTCGGGACACGCTGGACCTAGCCGTGTCCACGGCGTGCAGCACGCCCAACGCGGCGCTCAGAAAGCCACAGACGTCCGCATCTGTCTCGGGAGATTCCAAAGGAAAGTCTGGCCGAACATCTCCGAGACGCAGGGCCGCGACGTCCCCGTGACGGCGAGCGAAGCCCAATGCCAACGGAGCCACGCGGCGGGACGAAAAGGGGCCGCTCGGATGCGCTCGAGACGAGCGAGGAGGACGCAACCGTCGAAGGCGGCGGCGCCGGACGTTTGCCGCAAAGCTCCGACGACAAATGAAGCGAAGCGCCAAAAGTGTCCGCCCTCCCCATCGCGACCCGCCCGCACACTTCCATGCCAGGAGATGACAAAGCCTTGATTTGTCTCACAACGGAGAACTTGGCAATTTACAGCAGTAAATCTGTCCGTCAGAGCCGTTAGCTTAGCCGGCATCCCGCCGCCGCCCACCTCCTCCGGAGTGTCCGGGGAGCGGCCCTCCTGAACGGACGCTCCGGTCTCTCCCCGCCCCCCGCCCCGAGATGCCGCCGGGCCGTCGGGCCATGCCATCGTGAATGGCTGAAGCCACCGCAAAGTCACGGAAGCTCTTCAGGAGTGAGCCCACGAGGAAGAGCCGCTCTGCCCCTTCCTGATCACAGCGTGCGTGTTGGTCGACCAACCGGTCTGGTTTATTGTTGACAAGAGCACCCGGGTCCTCGGAGGAGGAGGTCACCCTCTCTGCACCCCGGATGTTCCTCGGGGCGGGTGACGACCGTTTCCTGCAGAAATCCGCAAGCGACCCCCGAGTTTTCCCGGGGTCGATCTGGAGGCGCCGGTTCGCCAAGTCCTCCGTCAGTCCCCTGTACCCCCGATCGTCTCCGTCCGTAATGAGATCGCGGAGTCGTCACAGAACTTGCGAAGGTGGATGTAGGCCACGCATATTGAACTGACCTTGTGATTGTTATTTATTGATCGATTGCGTTTGGCTCGTTAAATAAGGGAGAGAAGTTGCCTATGGTGTTACGTTGGCGCGCGGCAGGACGTAACGACCGCGCGAGGTGCAGTACGCAGCGAATGTTTTTGAACGGGCTGAAAAAAAAGTTGATTTTGGAGGTGCGAGAATCACGCCCGCAACCCGCTTGGCCCTCCAGGTTCTCTCCGATGAGCGTGGAGCACATGGCCGGAGGGGGCGCGGCTTCGGGAGGCCCGTCGGGTTGGTGCATCTTCATCTACAACCTGGGCCAGGAGGCGGACGAGGCCATGCTGTGGCAGCTCTTCGGACCTTTCGGCGCCGTCAGCAACGTCAAGGTCATCCGCGACTTCAACAGCAACAAGTGCAAAGGCTTCGGCTTTGTCACCATGAACAACTACGAGGAGGCGGCCATGGCCATCCACAACCTCAACGGCTACAGGCTGGGGGACAAAGTCCTCCAGGTGTCCTTCAAGACCAGCAAAGGACACAAGTAGTAGACCGCAGGTCCCAGCTTGTTGCTTTTTTTTCCTTTTTTTAAGTTTGGCTTTCCTCGTCCACCTGTAGCGGACGCTCCTTTTTGCTGTCCCGATCTCAACTCGTTGCTTTGGTTTAACTTGTCACGGGGGCGTCGCCTTCTCACGCACCGACTCCATTTCTTCCCAACAATGTTGCTCGTTTGTCGTCCGATCACCTCGACTCAATAAAAAGCCATCCAAAAAGTCCGTCGTGCTGCTCACTTGACGCGAGTGAAACACAATTGTCCAAACAAGTGGTTTTGCGTTGCAATGCACCTTGAATGGCACACACGAAAAAAAAAAAAAACAAGATCTCTGCAAATGTGGAAAAACGTGAAAGTCGCGGACTGATTTGTGTGAATAATTTGACACAAACGTCTCCCCAGACTTGGCGAGACGCGACGTACCAATTTGGACGCGGCTTCCAACTCAGGTCATCAAGTGGTCCAAAGGTGGGCTGCTCTGAAAAACCTCGCCTGCAATACTCGGAACAAATCCGGCGTGCGGGTGGATCACTCGTGGCACGTAACAGGTGCTTGAATTTTAATATTGCGGCTCGTTCAAAAACGGAGCGGATCGTACATCGATGCCCGTTGCGTTCGACGAGGGATGCGATGCGCGTTCAAAGACCGCTCACCCGGTAGGAGGACGTTCCAAAAAACTCCATCGATACATGAAAGCGTCACGGCTCGTGACTCCTCCAACTACACGATGCGGGCCTTCTATCCGCAAAGCCGGCGGGCAACAAGACTTTTCCTCGCTTGGATTTGTCTTACTTGACGCGTCAACGAACCGAGTGCAGCGATGGGACGTTTCCGGTGCGCCAGCCTGGGTGGGTTTCGCGTAGCGCAGCTGCACTTCTGTCCGCTAGATGGCGGCGGACTCGTTTTCATCCCCAGTGACGTCACCGAGCTCTTTCCCCCGCGGAAGCCGCCGCGGCCCCCGCTTCGTGTCAACAAAGCCGAAGAAAGAAGGCCTTCTTCGGTGGACGTTCTTTACGGCTGCGCCGCGAGCGATGGAGTGAAGCGGAGGCGGCAACATGTCCATGGAAGATCCTTTCTTCGTCGTCAAAGGGTCAGAAAAGCTCGCGAGAAGCTGTTAGCTTGCTAGCACTTGCGCGTCTTTCTTGTCTCTGGACGAAGCGACCGATTCCGCGCGTCATCTCGGCCGTTGGCTTGTTCGAGCAAATTCTCCATTTATGAACAGATGAGCTTCAACGAGTCGTTGACCTCGTATGCCTAATAGCCGACAAGTTCTCGCGATAATGGAAGAGCCGAAGCAATAATTGTTCCCGTCGTCGTCATCGTCGACGAGTTCCATCAAACAATTCATTGGCTGGAACGATTCGTTGAAAAAGGGATGGGAGGAAAAAATCGTGTCAAAATGATTCACGCAAATCGATCCAAGAAGTTCACGTGTGTTTCAGAATCGCAAATACACCCGCGAGTTTCAAACGAGTGGCTTTTGTTGTGTGTGAAGGTGTCCTCACTTCTCTCTCGCACGCACACACACACGCACACACACGTCTCCGATATTCAGCCGTGTTGAACTCCCCCCCACCCCCCCCCCCCCCCCCCCGTCCGCGAGGAGGCAAGGTTGCTGCCTCCAACGAACGGGAACGAGCTACCTCGCGTTTAAAAATGGAAAACGAGCCATTATCTGGTCTTCAAACACGAGTCGGGGAACAAAATCCCAAAAGTCCCTTGCTACGAATTCAAAGAAACAATTGGTGCGGTATTGATCATAAATGGTGAACAATTCACCTGGATTACAGTCCAAAGAAAAGGCGTCCCACGCAAGTGTCCCGCATTCAACTTTTAGCGGACGAACGCACGGCGAGGAAATGGCAAGTCGTGTCGTCGACGTGCGCCGCCATCGCGAGAGCGAGCCGGCCGCTTTGCACCGGATTGCGTTCGAGCTCGCCGCCGAGCGCGATCCGAGCGCTCGAATGATCCGCGACGCCGCTTGCGTGTCCCCAGCGAGGTGCAGAAGGCCGTGAGCGGCGCTCAGAGCCTCCATCGCCGATGGAGCCAGTTGCTGCCGGAAGGGGCCGCCGCCTCCAAGGAGGAGCTGGACTGGACCACCAACGAGCTGAGAAACAGCCTGCGCTCCATTGAGTGGGACCTGGAAGACCTCGACGAGACCATCAATATCCTTTCCGGCGGGGCCCCGACCATCCGTGGCTTTTGCTTTCCATAGTAGAGTTTCAAGTTGCTCGGGCCCCTCTCTTCAAAGCCACCGGTCCTCGGAGACGAAAAGCAAACGGCGGTCCGTAATTTGCTCGCTTCCTTAACAGTCGGCCAACGCATCGTGGAGTCCAATCCCAAGAAGTTCAACCTGGACGCCGCCGAGCTGGCCAAGAGGAAAGCCTTCATCGGCAGCACCAGACGCACCGTCGAGGTACGCGCCCCTTGCGTCGTCGTGCCGGACTCGCGGTGACATCTTTGCTCTCTTTGAAGGAAATGAAGGAGCACATGTCGAGCGGTCCGGCCGTGGCTTTCGTCGACAGAAGCAAGCAACAGGTCCTCCGTCGGCTCGCGTCCGCGATCTCCGCGCGAGCGCTCGTGCGCTGACGCCGGAAGACTTTGACGTGTGCGCAGGCGCTGCTGGGCGACGGCGCCGTCCGCGATAAGTCCCGCCTACCGGAGCGGCGGCTGCGCGACGCCAACTCGGACTTCATCGGGGAGCAGCAGCTTCAGCAACAGGTGGGCCGAGACGCGCGGGGGCCCCCCCCCCCCGCTCGCTTTGCTCATTGCGCCGCGTGCGTCCTCCCGACAGCTGATGGCGGAGCAGCAGGACGAGCAGCTGGAGCTGGTGTCGGGAACCATCGGCGTCCTGAAGAACTCTCGTTTGCTTTTGCTTTTGCTTTTGCTTGCGTCCCGGCCGGCAGCATGCTGGACGACTTTGGCCAGGAGCTGGACAGCACCCACTCCAGACTGGACAACGTCATGAAGAAACTGGCCAAAGTGTCCCACATGACCAGCGGTGGGTGCTCGCGCTTGTTCGTTGCTTCGGACGACTCGGAGAAAAAAAACGTCTTGCGTTCTTTCTCTCTCCGTCCGTCTCTCCGTCCGCGGACGACGACGGCGCAGACCGCCGTCAGTGGTGCGCCATCGGGGTGCTGCTCGCCATCCTCTCGGTCATCGTGCTCCTCCTCTTCGTCCTCTGATGCGGCGACCGGCCTTCGTCCTCCGCCCCCGCAACGGAGGTCCGGGCTCGTCTTCTGTCCGGCTGAGCGGCACTCGTCGAGGGTTCGCGGTTCAAAGGGCAATCTGACTTTTACCCGCGCTGAATAACACGACGCGCTTGCGTATTCGTATTTGTTGCAGTGTTTATTTATTTTTGTTTGGGGGTGGGGGGGGGGCTCTTTGTTTTTCATTGTGAAAGACTGAATCCATTGTTGTTGTTTTTCATTATTTTATTTTTTGGACCGTTCACATTTTCATCCCATCGATGCCACACGTGGCCCTCGAATCAGTCGAATATCGATGAGATTGGAATTGTTGTTTTCTCAACGATTCAAGTTGAAAGGGTTTCCTCATGACATTCAACAGTCCAAACCATGAACGCAGCGCGCTCGAAAGTATCAAGAATAAGACTCCTCCAAAGTACCCTGAACTTTCATTCACGATGAACTTGGCAGCTGTTAATAAACTGACACAAAAAGAAACTCATCGTGGCAAGTCTTTCCCTTTCAGCAAGTCAACTTATTTGCATGAATCAAATCCGTCTTTTCTCCCGGACCCGCTCGCCAAACGTATTGATGCCGCTTTTGTCTGTGTTGTCCGGTTGCTCCTTTGATTCTCTTCAATGCAATCATCTGGATCGGGCCAATCGTTGGCCCGCTTTGAAAAGTGACAATGTGCGTTTGGATCAGGCGAAGACCGCAAGTCCCACTTGACGGCACCGCACCAAGCGGCGGCCGCCGCACGGCCCGTCGGAAGGCCCGGCGGCCCGGTGCCGCGATTTGGGCGGGCCGCCCCTCTGTCCCGCGGGGGTGTCATTCTCCAGGCCCGGGGACGCCGGAGGCTTGTGCCCGAGCAAATCGCCCGCTCCCCACTCGCCAGCGAGTCCAAGACGCCGCGCCGCAGAGCCCCCCGCTGCAGGATGCGAGTGGTCCTCCCTCGCTCTGGAAATAGCCGGCTCCCTTTTTAGACTTTGTTACTCAGTTTGGAGTCGACGAAACCAAATGTAAACTGCTACTTTGAAAGAAAGAAACAAAACAAAAGCCATCTTTGATTTCTTGAATTATTTAGCCAGTAGCAATCGGTTAGAACGTCCGCCTCACAGTGCAGAGGTGCAAAGTTCGATTCCGCCTCGGGCCTTCCTGTGAGGAGTTTGCCACCGTGGGTTTCTTCAGAGACACCGATTTCCTCCCACATTCCAAACACACGCACGGTAAGTCGACTGAATGCTCGAAATGAGCGTTTCCCAAACTAAGGCCCGCGGGCCGAATCCGGCCCACCTCAGCATTTGGTCTGCACCCCCTGAACAATCCAGAGAGTATTTCCATTTATTTTTCATCCATGTGGATTTGTATTTGATCATAAAGTTGGGCTTAGTTCTGAACTATTTTCCGTTTAAATCGTCAATGGTGCGCTTTGTGCTCGTCGACCCAGCTGGGGGAGCCTTTGCCAGCCACAAAACTAATGAGGGCATGAGAAACAATTCTGCCCTGTCGTCTCACCTGCTTTTTATCTCTTCGTACTTCCATCGATCAACTCGTTTATTGAATTGTCTTCCTTCAAAACAAAGCCACGATCTCCGAAGGTCTGAATACGTTCCCCTCCCGGACACGCCGCGCCATCGCACCCTTCCAATCCGTTTGAATCTTCCAAGGTCCGCTTCTCGCAAATCCAGAAAGGAGGGGTGCGGTGGCGCGGCGCGTCCACCGGAGGGAGACTTCCAGGCCTTCGGATAGCTCCCGCCATGCGTTGCGGCATTAAGAATCGCGTTTAAATGCATGTTTTGTGACAATTATTTTCCTATTTGTTTTGGATACATGTATTCAGTCCTTTTTTCTCTCTTTTCATAATCAGCGCATATTTTTTTCAGTTTGCTTTCATAGTTTAATAAACTGTGTGAGAAGTTCAGTTCGGTTGTCCTGTTGCGTTGATACGAGACGAGTCATTGGATAAAATGCGTAAGTCGAGGGGTTCGTTGTTCTTCAGTGGCTAGCTCTACTTTACGGACGACAAAAGGAGAGATGGAATCCTTTAAATGCAGTTTTATTAAAAGGACAAAAAAAAAAAGACGTCTGCACAGCAGCACGTTCGAGAACACAACTACCGAACTAAAACCACTTCCTGCTTTTCTTTAACAGCCAATCAGAACATATTGTGGCAGTCGAAAGGAGCACACACGATTGTCTGTAGAACACGTCTTTATTCCAAGACTGCCAACAAGTAGATCTGAACAGTTACAACTTGTGCCACAATTCTTGACATAACCACGCCCCCTACTACATGCCTGCTGGGTGAGAAGCATGGTCCTAATGTCCGCCACACAGCCCCCCCCCTGAACACCCAGAAAGGCAATCAAAATGACAACTTCACCGGTGGTCTTATTAGCCTGCCACAACGACTACGCAGTCCGTCTTCTGGTGGCGCAGGCG